CCTGTAGCTAATGCTGCCTCTTATTTTTTTTAGACGGAGTCTCACTCTGTTGCCCAGGCTAGAGTGCGGTTGCACAATCTTGGTTCACTGCAACCTCTACCACCCAGGTTCAAGCAATTGTCCTGCCTCAGCCTCCCGAGTAGCTGGCATTACAGGTGCCTGCCACCAAGCCTGGCTAATTTTTTGTAGTTTTCAGTAGAGATGAGGTTTCACCATCTTGGCCAGGCTGGTGTTGAACTCTTGACCTTGTGATCCACCTGCCTCAGCCTCCCACAGTGCTGGGATTACAGGCATGAGCCACCGCGCCCAGTCAATACTGCCTCTTGTTAGCTGCTGAACCTTGGGAAGATTATTTACCTCTTTGTGAACTGCATTATTGCTGTTTGTGAAACAAGACTAATAATTTCACTCTCTAGCATTCCCGTGAAGATCAAATGTGATGTATAATGATGTATATGGGACATTTAGCTTGCTGCTTGGCATTTATAGGGGCTCCCTAAATCGGGGTGATAAATATTCAAGACTCTTTTTTAATGACTCTTAAAATTTACTTCAACTTGAAGACGTAAATTGAACTGTGGCAGTTCTGTGGCTTTTTGCTAAAATCTTAAGAGGATATTTACAAATTTGCCAGTAGTTTAAACTTAGCTTTTTCTGAAGAGGAGAGTGGAAGTGAACTGTGACCTCTAGAATCTTAACTGAGGTATCCTACAGTGTGAAAATAGATAGGATGGGGGCCATTCCACTTTGCCTTTGGCTGTTGTTGTAACTCTCTTGGAGCAAGATGTTCTGAAAAAATTTCTGAAATGATTCTTTCATTGATGTAAACACAGGGACACCCAGTTGGAGGACATTTTGGCACTTCTATTTTCTATCTCCCCTGTGCATCCCATAGGGAAGCTCAAACAATGGGGGATGATGGTATAAGTTTAAACTTTAAGAAAACAGTGCCCTCCTGAGAAGTCCTCTTCAGGCCGTGCACGGTGGCTCATGCCTCATGCCTGTAATCCTAGCACTTTGGGAGGCTGAGACAGGTGGCTCACTTGAGGTCAGGAGTTCGAGACCAGCCTGGCCAACAAGGTGAAACCCCGTCTCTACTAAAAATACAAAAATTAGCCAGGCGTGGTGGTGCATGCCTGTAATCCCAGCTACTTGGGAGGCTGAATCAGGAGAATCGCTTGAGCCCAAGAGGTGGAGGTTTCAGTGAGCCGAGATTGCACCACTACACTCCAGCCTGGGGTACAAGAGCAAAACTCCATTGCAAAAAAAAAAAAAAAAAAAAAAAGAGAGAAGTCCTATTCTATAAAATTATAAAATGAGTGCAGCTACCGGAACCATGGGTGTCAGATGCGCACATCCAGCAGGAGGCAGTCTTGCACTCCAAAGGCACTAACTATGGGCCCCCAGTTCACACACTCAATCACTGGGCTTGGCTCCTAGGAGTGGAAGTAACTGAATGCCTTCTTAGTTGTTTAAGTTTTAGCAGCTTAAACTTTTGCTTTTTGTAGACTTAGCAGTTGGTTGACAGAGTAGTTGCCTCGGCTCTGATAGGTTTTACTTCTTTCTTCATGCTTTGATGTGGGAGTAGACAAATGGCAGAGCAGCAACACTCAGAGTGGACCAGTGCTGTAGATGTGTAACCACTGAATAAACCAAAAATAAAGAGCCTCTTGGTGACATGCACATGAGTGACTGGATGTCTGGATCCTGGGCACTGCGTGTGGAGATCAAGTGCTTTCAGTTTGCTCATTAGTTGATTTCGGATGTTTATTCTTATACAGATCTTGTATGGACACTATATCCTAAACAACATCTTTACAAACTTTTTTTTTTTTTTAGGAAAGCTCTTATATCACATTCCCAGTAGGTACACATGTGTATGTTCGTGCATTGAAATGAGAATTTCTCAGATCACTGCTAACCTTTGCTACATGAGATGACTCTGATATATTGAATTTCATTTTGTTTTCTTCTATTTCATTAAAAAAATATAGTTGATACCTATAAAACGACTTTATAATGCTGTAATGCACTAGTGGGTCAACATTTGCAGCTTGAAAAACAGTGTGCCTAGACAGTCTAGTGACGTTCAGTTTTCAAACTAATCATCCCAAGGTCTCCTCATATTTCCTCAAATGTACCTCTTCTGACTCCTTTAGGGGTTTCCTACCCTCTAGTGTTGATGCTTTCCTGGGGCCGCCCTCTGTTCTGCTCTTGATTGAATTTCCTCATAAGTATCACCTGCTTGCCTGGCTATGACGATCATTGCTGCTGTAGTGATTCATAAATGTATGTTCCCAACTGTGGTTGCATTCCTGAATTCTATATGATGCTTCCAGTAGCATTCCAAACAGTTTCATGTAGCCTTCTGTTGTACCCTTCATCTTGAACTCAGCATCAAAATCAAAATCATTATTTTGTCTAAACACTGCAACTTCTCTTCTTAGTCTATTAATGGCTCTCTTGTTCCCCCATCTACCTAGCCTAAATATTCCAGGCCATCACTGACTCTTCACTTTCCTTCACCCTCCGCAGCTCAGCTTTCCTCAGCTCTTGTTATTTTTTTGCTCACAACTTCTCTCTCACTTTTCAGTTTTGGCACCACATCATCTCGATTAAAAAAAGAACCAAATGGCTTCTCATTACCTACAGAATTGAATGTGAACTCTTTAGGGTATGGGACTTTGGCCTCAAATCTTATCTCCCTCATTGCCCTAAATGTGCCCTTTGCTGCACTAAATATTGATCCCCGACTTATGCCCTAGGAAGAAATAAATCTTTCCTAGTTTCTCAGGAATGAGCCTCCATTTTTTTTGATGAATGTGACACTTATCATGTGTTTCCTGCTGTATAATGTCACCTTTTGGATTAATATTTATTTAGTTTAGCATGTTATTAGGTACTTTCTAGAGAGTTGCGATCTGGGAGTCACCTTGAATTGCCCTCTCAACATCGAAAGAGTAACTAAGCCTTATTGATACTGTTCCCTAAACCAGTTATCCTAAAACTTTCATGTGCATTTAAATTATCTGTTAGAATAAAGATTCTGATTCAGAAGGTCAGGGATGTGGTTTGAGATTCTGCATTTCTATTTGGCTTTCAGAAAATGTGAGGGTGCTGGTCAGAGAGCCACCCTTTGAGTAGCAAGATTCAAATGTGGCTTTAACCCATCCCTTCTTCCTCCATGCCACTTTTTGGGTTTGAGACCTTATTATTGCTTATTCTCCTAACTGGTCTGTCTGCCACCTGACCCTCCCCACCTCTAGTCTGTCTCATAAAACTATTATCTAATGGATCATTACCTCATTTGTGAACTTCCTAAAACAAAAGTGCAATGGAAATTAGAAATGCAGTCCTTGGAGACCTGGCCCGTGAGCCAGGATTGGGTTAGGAGCCTTGCTTGGAACATCCTTATTCTTTTCCTGTTTCCATGGTTTCCTTCTCTGTTAATTCATTTTGGCGAAATTAATTTGGCTGTTCTGCTTTTCCCAAAACACTGATTTTCTTTTTGCCCCAGCCCAAGCCAGGCCCCATGTACTATGGTGCCTAGATTTTTCACACAACTTGAATTTTGAGAAACACCTTCCATGTGTTCTGTCTTAAAGACACCATTGCCAAAACTCTGTGGGATTCAACAACAGTGAGACTGAAGAAGGTGAAAGTTGCTAAGAGGAAAACCATTTGAAGGATAAATGAAGTAGTCCTTCCATGAAAGCTAGCCTCCCCTCTTTATAACTGCCCTATGGTCATTTTGATCTCGCTGAGCTGGGGTGTCATCCCTGTTGTGGGTTTGCACAGGGGCCTGTGAATTTCAGGTTTTTGCTCTTGCAGAACTGCCTTGTAGGTTAGAGGGAGCAACGCTTTCACACGTACCGCTTTTCTATTGTATTTTAATTTATATTTATTCATTCATTTATCTTCCTTTTTACTGCTGGCTCTGTTGTTCAGTATTAGCTAATATATTGCAAAGTGAACTTTCATTGACCAGGCAGAGGCCAGGGTAGGGCCAGTGAGAGAGAGATTCTGGAGAACAACAGACGGGGAGGAAGCAGAGGTGTGCAGTGAGATTCCTGGGTTTGGGATCCCAGTTCTGCTGACTTGTCTGTATAGTCTTAGAAGTGTGATCCAGCCTCTTTGTCCTGCTCCTCCAATCCTGAGAGAGGTGGTGGAAACAGATTACTGCTTAGCAGGCCTTAAGGACAAGTTACTGGGGCCATACAGAATCTTCTATTTTTTGAAAAAAGCAAACACAACTCCCCTCCCTATAATTATACCACACTGCCCTCAATGTCAGTGAAGTTTTCCTCTGCCCTGTAGGTAGATTTTTGTGTGACCTTCTCAGAAGCAGGAAACAGATTGAAAAATCAGTAATATGTGGGTCAAAAAGTAATTTTCATTCTCATATGTGTCCCTTTGTTGCAAAGACTGTGACATTCCTCCATGGAAGAAAGCGATGAATTTGGAAGAAAAATCCCAGCATAACTATTTTCCACCCTAAGGAAATAGCCTCTCTTTCCAATGTGTGAATGCATTTTCCACTGCATCCCCAGGGGTATGAGTGTTTCAAGAAGTTTGCACTGTGCTGCTACATTCACTAAACTCCCAAGCCCCACTCCTTCCCAGACCATCCTCCAGAGTCTCTGCATGTTTCCAGAAACAAATCAAGAGACTGACAAGAGCTCTGCCTGATATGAATAATAGAAAAATGAACCACTCTGTGCAAGGAAGTTGGTGGAAGATGGGAGGCAAGCAGGGGAGAGAAAGAGATTTTCAGCAGCAGAGGGGACCTCAGAGACCCATCTATAAGATGGACACTTCGCTCAGCATGATTTCTGCATTTATGCCTATTTAATGGTCAGCAGGGCAATCAATAGATTGCCTGTTACCTGGTTAATCATGGGTCTGTTGAGGGGTGGCAATGGGCATGCTGGCTGTGGGATCCATGGGCTGACAAAAAGACCGTTGAACATTGACTGTTACTTTTCTTTCTCTTTCCCCAGGGCAGCCACTGAAGTTTTGGCAGTGTTGCTGAAATCCAGTAAGCGCCTCTTTTGAAGGGTGGTTATTTCCTTCCCCTCTGGGTTTAATGAAAGATACCCTCTGGTCCCCATGGCTCTTTCTTTTTTCTTTCTTTTTTTTCATGAACTACTATTTCTCAAGCACCTATGGCTCATTTCTGACCTTGAAAGCGATAAAGTCATGTCCTGGGTCTTTGGGGTAAGATAGCGAATATTATGGTTGTTCCAAGTACATGACCACAGAGACAAAATAAATATTATCCATACATAATGCCACCAAGACAACAGACCCTGAAGGGGATATATTGTCTACTGTGGACCTGGTGGATCCTCCACCTCTGTCTAACAGAGCCAGTAGTCCCTAAAGATTGTTGGAATAAACTCCAGGTTCCAGTGGGATTGCCTACAGGTTCCAGTGGAAGAAAAGATTTTGGTTGGATGGAGAGCAGTATTCCTGTATTTGGTTCTCAACTCAGCTCAGCTCATGAGTCTATTATTCTTGGGCAGGTGGAGTGTTGGGAATTGCTTGGACAATGTTGATGCCGATAACAAATTTATATTTAAAAGTTGACTCTTTTCTCAGTTACTTGAGTGATTGCAAAATAATAGCTCTGGGGTTCTGAATAATTTGAGGATTTTTTTTTGCCTGGTAGCCCTGGCCTAATTACGTTGGGAGCCAATTTCATGTGTGCAATATAATAGGAAGCACAATGCACTTGGGAGGGAAGAAGTCTTAGCTTAATGTTTTTACTCATTTTTTCCTCCTTACCTCTTCATCTATTTTAATTTGGCACCGTGGAAACCAGCTGCTTCAATTGTGATATTTGTTTCTCTACAGGGAGCCTGAGGCCTGTGGGTAATAGGTGAACTTTAATAAAACTTTTAAAGAAATAAATAAAAATAAAAACACTCTCTTCCCCCTCATTCATATATCTCTGTCAACTATGAGCACAGAGAAAGAGCCAAATCACATGCTGTTTCCCTTTACAGACTTAGAAAAATTGAAGCTTGAATTCATTTAGTTTATTCGAATTTGATAGGAGACACAAGTCTGTCCACAGCTTAAAGACCTGCAGGTAGAATGGAGGTGGTAAGAGCAGGATGGGGGAGTGAAGAGGAAGGGGTTACGAAGCCCTGGAGATAGGAAGGGATGGAAAAGTGTTACCTGTGGGTTCTGGGGAGAGGACCATTCATTCTTCAGACTGAACTTGCTTCAGGTTTGGCATCTTGGTTCTCATTATTTATCTGCTCCCTTGGTTGCTCCCAAGTACCCAGTGTTTGATGCAGCAGGGTGAGGGAGTGTTGAATTGCAGGAGGAAAAGATGCCGAGAGCAGCCTGGTAGGCCAGCCTGTAAATGTCATGCCTTGGGAAAGAAGCTATCTCTCAAATCCCCCCAGCCCAGCCTCGGCCTGGAGGACTTGATGTTTCATGGGAAGGGAGCCCAGAGAGCTGAGTAAGGCTGGCTTACTTTCTACACACACACTTTCCTTAGCTCTTGAGCTTAGGGTAGAGCATCTTGATATAAATCGTACCTACTTAGATGTGTAAACCTGTGAAAGTAGTCTTATGTCAGTTGTTAACTGTATTGATCACAAACATAATGCCTCAGCCCAGGAAAAACCAATAGCCAGTGCAAACATGGCTTGATTCAGGTTCAGACCATGTAGCTAGGTTTTCAACATACCAGCCATGCCTAGTAGGCTGAGTATATGGTGCTGGGGCTCAGCTTTTAGAATTTCTAACTTCTTCTTTCCCTTCAGAGCTTAGCTCAGATATTGCCTCCTCTGAAAATCCTTTCTCTGACTACCAGAACTTGGATGCCCCTCCTCAATGCTCTTATAGGCTCTCCCAACTCAGACTTGATTACATTATGATGAAATTGCTGTTATCTGTGTCTTCCAGCAGATTGCAAGCTTATGAGGGAGAGTGTCATCTGTATTGATCATTGTATTACTTGCCTCAGCACAATGAAGAGCCTGAAAATAAATATTTGTTGACAAAATTTTTTTGTTTTTTTTTTTCATTTTTTAAAAAATAATTTTAAGTACTGGGATACTAAATTTTTAAATGAATACATGATTTGTGATTTCTCCCATGTGTAAAAATGGCAGTACTGCCCCCTACTACCTGAATCTAACATCCATGCATAGAACCAATGATCTAAACATTCGTCATTCTCATCTCTATTTACCTGTTCTAATAGGTTAGTGGAGAACTGCAATAGCTTGCTGTCCTCCTCATATAAAACGGGTTTTAGTGTCCCATTAGGAGGATGTATAGCCTATTTGCTAATTGTGCTGAGCTGTCTATACATCTCTTGTGTTACTTATAACACAAGAGAGTTGGATGAGAGGTTCTCTAACATTCTTTCTAACACTAAATACTCAGCCTTAATGTGTATCAGGGTTTCTCAATGTACCATTGGCATTTTGGACAGGATGATTCTTTGCTGTTAAGAGTCTGTTGCAGAAGCAACATCCCTGGCCTCTACCCACCAGATGCCAGTATCATGCCTCAGTTATAACAAACAAAATTATCTTCAGACTTTGCCAAATATGTCCCCCCGGGGGGTGAGCAGTAAAATTACCTCTTGTTGAGAATTACTGATGTGTATTTGGGCACACACATGAGCTGAAGCTCATTCAAAGTTTCAAAAGACCCCTTCCCAAATACCTTTATTGATATTTCCAAGAAATGTGCTTCTTGCATAATTAATGTTAAATTCCTCAGTATCAGCATCATTCATATGGGTTCATAAGAGGTAAGAACACTGAAGGCAGACTGTCATTGTGAGCATTTTACAAAGTACTTGGGAGGGAAACAGATTCTAGAGGATCTTGAGGGTCTGAGAATGAGGAGGGCAAATAGATTTCATAATGAGTAGGAAGTCCAATGTGTGAGTTGAAGAATTCTGAGATCATGTTTAAGCTCAGCAGGAAAGAGGACTACATTTAAATAGCAAAGTCTGTCCATGGATTTGGGGAGAAGTAATAACAGCATGTCAGGCAGCTGCCATCTTTGTTTTACCAGCCTATCGAAAGTATTGCATGGCGTGAAGGTTATAGATGGTACCACCATTCTGATGATGCAGGGGTTGCTGCAGGGCATACAAGTGTTGTGGACTTTTCTATTTGCTTTACATTGCCTATATGTCATGCATAGTTAAGACCTGATATGGAATGTCTTTCAATTTGGATCCCAGAGTGAGTTTGCCTCAGCTGAACTTAAATTCAGGGAGTCAGTTTCTGTCTAAAATTCAAGACTTCACCATCTGACACTGATACATGGGAGCGTTTATGTAAGCCTTTAGCTCCTAAAGGCACACTCCTTTTAGCTGGTGATTATTATGACCTTGATCTTTGCTTGTCAGTGAGTATAAAAGTTGGCCATTGTAGTTGTTCTCTGTAATTGCATCACAAAAGGGAGAGAATTCCCTGATCTAAGTAAAGCCAGGAGTAAAGAGCCACTACTTTGCGGGGAGAGGGGGCAGTCAGTGGTCCTGTGACAGTAAACACTAGGGTGGGTTGGAAATCTGAGGTCACTGTGGCACTATCAAGTAGTGACAGGCAGAGACCATCCCCAGGAAAAGCAGAACTGCGGGATCAGGGAGACTTGGAGTCCACCCATAGTAACCACAGAAAGCAAGGGGAAGATCACCTGTGTTGCATTTGGAAGATCTCATTATTGAGCTTTCTCTTTTATCAAGTAGCCACTGCATGAAAAACCAGTGTAGAATATGTGGGTGATGGTAAAAGAGAAATGAACCAAAACACATTTCCCATCTCTTTCTCCTGAGCAATAGCAGGCAAAATAAACCTGGAAATCCTAGGCCTCTTCTCCAATTATCACAGCAATTTGGGATCCTACAAATTAAAAATCATTGCTTACTCAAGGTTCCTTTCTGTGTCTGTGTAGGCTGGAATGACCTAATCCAAATCCTATGCCTTTCCTTGTGTCAGTTCCCTCTTCTCCACTCACATATGCACAAACCCCACCCTAAATTGTCCTGTGTTGGAAGCTTTGCCTTTTTATGCTTTATCCTACCTGAACACATTTAGCTTTTTATTCCTGAAATGTAGTAAAGCATTAGTTAGGAAATAGTGCTACTTATTATTGCAGGCGATTTTTTAAATATAATAAATCAAAACAACATGTCCTTTGTTTTTCACTCCATATTGGTCTGTTCTCACACTGCTATGAAGAAATACCTGAGGCTAGGTAATTTACAAAGGAAAGAGGTTTAATTGACTCAGTTTTGCAGGGCTGAGGAGGCCTCAGGAAACTTACAATCATGGCAGAAGGGGAAGTAAACATGCCCTTCTTCGCATGGCAGTAGTAAGGAGAAGTGCCAAGGGAAAGGGGAAAAAAACCCTTATGAAACGATCACATCTCATGAGAACTCACTATCACCAGAACAGCATGAGGGTAAATGCCCTCATGATTCAATTACCTCTCACCGGGTCCCTTCAATTAAAGATGAGATTTGGGTGGGGACACAGCCAAACCATATCACCCTTTCTTGTCATCTGCCTTCACTCTGCCTTTATCTCATCTCTTCCTCTACCCCTACCTTCATCTCTGTCTTTCCTCTTTTTTCCTCATCCTTTTCACTGTTTCTCATTTCCTTGTCCACCTTTCCCTCTTTCTTTTTGCTTTCTCAATTACCTTCCATAAGCATTAGACATAAATGCATTTTTGAAAAATTGTGACCCTGGAAGTGGCACTTGAGTAAGCGTGTGGCAATGGGATTATGCCTGATTTGTACTGGCTCCAGAAATGAATCTTCAAATAGTGTCTTAGCATTAACCTTGCTGTCCAGATTTAAAGGTCATATTCTTGCAACAAGAAAACACCTTCTGGTTCAGGCCCTAAAACTTAATAAGGGAATGATGAATCTCTGTCAGAACACTCTCCAATTTAAGAATTAGCATTTAGAGGAGTCTGGAAGTTTGCAGAAGTTGGGGCATAGGAACAGGAAAGCAAGTTAGCAAGGAAGAGAGAAGAAAAGAGGGGAGGGAG